AATCTGAAATTTTGACGGAAGCAAAAGTAAAAACAATTAATGACATTTCATAGAGTTTCCTCACGTACACTTTAACATTATTGCTCATTAATGTGATTGGTTACTTCATAAAAAAACTAGCTAAATTTATTTAAATATTGCATTTCTCTGCATGAATCTATCACTCCTAGCGGTTAAACGTATGTGCCATTCCTTCTTTTTTGCCCTTAGCTTTTTCTTTTATCACAAATTATAAAATAAATGACTGCAGTCTAAAATTGGCCATTTCGTCTTTCTCACTGTCACGCTAGTCATTCTCAGAAGTAAACACTTTGTAAGTTGGCATTCAATTTCAACCTCAACGTTTTGCATTTTGCAAGATTTCCGATTTTTATTTAGAACATATTGCTTTATTTGACTTGAACACCAAATAGAATTAACTTGACAGCACTTTCATATTCATCCATATTCTTACGTAAAAATATATTAGTATCTACAATGACTCATTTTGGCTTACTCGAAAAATATCAATCAAACTAGATTTAATCCAGTTTAATTTTTCGCACTAATTTGAACCATGTCACACTTAACCTGAATAACGAGTGCTGCAACAAGCCGTGTTATTATGTAACTAAATTTATCCCCAAAAAAATATATCACTGGCAATTAGTAAAATTTTCATATTGCCCAGGTCTTTCAAATATTAATTACAGGTGAAAATGAGCAATATTTTGCATCGTGCAACAAACATTGAAAAATAATACAAAATTTTTAAGGAAAGAAAAAATACTGCAAAAATTCACTTTATTACATAGGTTGAAACCATAATTTCTCATTTCTCTGATTGTTCTTCAAGCCAAAATTAATAAATAAAATTTCTTTCTACAAAAATAAAATTTTGCATACTTGCGGAATTAAAATAACGCTTGAATAAGATGACAGAAAGCCATAATCAAGAGCAGTAAATGAAGGAGAGAGTATGATAAATTTCGAAGTTTAATGTTTGAAATCCAGTACTGAGAAATTTCATTTTTAATAAGTATTAATCTGGCTTTCTGTCATCTTATCATTATTACAGTTAATCTAATATTTCAATATTCACAGCGTTGTTTAGATATTTGAAATACAGTGAAATTTAAGAAAGACCATGATAAAAGCTTGCCTCGGAAGAGTTTTACAATAAAAATCCAATCTTTGTTGTTGGAAAAAGGATATTCAGCTGTGCAGAATTTAAAAATGAAAATGGATATGCTGTGCATCACTTCTAAAATAATATAATAGAATCTAAACTCCAAAACATCACTTTTTTATTTTAAATAAATAAATAAATATCAAATTTTGATCTAAACTTGGCAGCAAAGCACTAAATTTAATTTTACATCGTTATGGCATAAAGCAGTATGGCACATGAAAATGTAAACAGGCGAACTCTGATTGCTGAAGCCAAAATTTAAAAAAATTTTAAATCATAAAAGTAAAAAGAATAAGATGCTTTTTTTGTAAATGTGACATGTCACTCATTGTCTTACCCTTGAGAGATTGCTTAAAGTATAATAAAATGCTTTCGTTTGCATACAAGAAAATCGAGTTTTTTCTTTTCTACAGATACAATATATTTTCAAAGCAACAAAGAGTAGCAGTTTCAAATCAAAATACAAATATCTAATACAATGACAGACTAATTTACTACATTTCATTTTTTAGTACTTTGAGAAAAGTTTACTATTTATTTTGAAGAATTTTCATTAATACTATGATTTTCTCGATTGCATAACTTCATGTATTCCACTTTATATTCAACTTTAAATCAATCCTAAAATATCCAAACATGCTAGTTGCTTTCATTTTCTGTAACATATCTGCTTGTCAAAAATAAACAAAAAGTAAAACAAGTTCTTAATCATGCATTTAATATAAGAACACTATTTATTTTAAACAATGCTAATTTGAAATGTAAGAAAAAAAATCAGTAAAAATCCAAATGTAAGCTGAAACTTTTGGAGGTTGCATCTTAATAAAAATCAAAACTGATAACATTTAAATTTCCAATCAGACAAATAAAAATGGACATTGAATTTTTATAACTTTTTACTTGACTGATTCACAGGCTGCACAGACTGGTATTGAAAAGGGAATTTTTGGGATAGAACTTTTTTGCCATTTAAAAAAAGGAACAAATAATTTGAGTAAAAATAGAATAAACGTACAGAGATACAATTTAGCAAGTCGAAATCAGCCTTGGGAAATGCTTTGTCATTGAAAAGCTTACATGCAAACTGGAAAAACAACATTGACTATAATTATTTAAAAAATATTGACAATGTTCTTCTGAACTGACATTCAGTGTTGCTGATTTTCTTACAGGAGGAGAAAATACTTAATATTTGATTCATATGTAATAATTTTCAAAATTTTCCCTCCACACATAAAATAAAAACAAAAACAAATTTTGAAACTGAGTTTTAATTCTGCAAGTATGCAAAATTTGGTAAAAAAATTTGTTCTACCTTTTTACAGATCTTAATTTACTTATTACCCTCTATATGTCGAAATGTGAATGCATTTCTTCGACTTAATTTTAAATATGACAATATATTTAACATAACAGATAAATAATCATTATGTATTTAACTTCCTAGAAGACAAATAATGATATTTTTATGCATAATTTTACAGTTTGGTTTTTTTTTTCTTTCGCTTTTTTCCCTTTTTTTGAATTATTTTTTCACTGCATACGCTACAGGCGAATAGATGTTGATGCACAAAAGATATTCAATTCAAATTCAGTACTGAAGCATCTATTATTAACATTGTGAGAGCAATCCAGTGCCATTTTGACTTGATCTTACGACTAATTTCCCAGTAAAAGACTGAAAGGTTAAATTTCATTTCATAATAGTGTGATAATAATTAAACATAATTCGCTTACACTTTAATCATGTTCTAGAATTATTAAAAATGAACTCACTGCAACACTACTTGAACGATTATTACGTTATACTTGGTGTTTTGTAACAATGCTATCAAATATTTTTATTGTTTATCCACAAGTTTTTTATTTTCACTCTGATCTCAAAGATATAGTGATAAAAATAAACTTTACATCTAAATTGTAAACTATAATGAATCATTCTGTTTGTGGGAGAATAGTTACGTAAGTATAGCGATAACGAGTGTGCATGTTGAACCATTTCATTTGAATTTAAATTAGGCAGCAATATATACCGCTGCTATTGCTTGATATCAATCAATCAATGTTTGAAAAATATGATTACAGAAATATTCACTGGACATTAATTTATTTTTACTTTTTAAAAGGATTATTGCACTAAAACTAATGGAACACCAAGTGTAAAGAAGCTGTAAGTGATTAAGACTAAGTAATGAAATATTCGCATTTGAAAGATGAGGTTTTAATACAGAAAAGTTCAGATCACAGTGATTGATGAACTCACAAAAGCTACAATTTTTTATATACAGCTTTACATTTATATAATTACAGAGAGAAAATTAAAAAATCTTTCATGAAAAGAACAACTTGGCAGTTTTTACGCACTTCAAATCCCATTATCTCATTTTAATCATAATGACTTGTATAAGCCATAATTCATAATCAAGTAATCGACTTCTACACAGCTGAAAGCAGTTCTAAAAAAACCTGAAAACTGCAAAGAATGAATAATTTTATTTATTAAATCTATTTTTATCGCGGAAAAAGTGGTGATTGGTGAAAGAAATGAAGGATTATTGACAAAATTGATCACTGATCTTTATAAATATAATAAGCTACAAATTGTTTAATGGAAATGTATTTTTGTTTGCTTGCTTTGTTTTTTATTTATTATCAAAAAAAAATCTGTCTTTTCATATCAAATTGCTGATTTTCGCATATCTACCATGGTATTATTCATGTTTATATTATGAAATTGGTAGAAGCGTCTAAAACACTGGTTACTAAATATGCACAATCATTTTCTAGATCTGCTCAAAAATATATAAATTATTATGAAAGAAGAGAAAATTGAAGTTTGGAAATGTCTCTGTGGGCACAGTGTACCTTTAATTTTAAATTTTAATCCAAGGAAGAATTTGTGAAGGTTTCATTGACTATGTCAAGATGAATGTAACAATTTCACACGCATACAACTATTAAACAACCGTTAGCTTACAAAGGTATTACTAGCAGTTGTCAAAGTGTATACACTTATTTTATTTCGATAATTTGATACGCTTAAACCAGAAACATTTGGACTACAAAGAAAAATTTGGTATTTCTCAATTTCAAAATTGTTAATACTTTTTAGATAATTAATTTAATTAGTTCATTTTAGGCAAAAAAAAAGACTGATTAAATTGATAAATGATCATCTTCAGGCAAATACATGTCCTTGCTTGCTGGAGTGATTTTCTGGTTAGAGTGAATTCCTTCGAACCTTTCATGCTTGTTACTACTAGATCTGAGATATTAGGGTGAAGTCAGATTCATGATCAAATATAATCCAAAAAAAGCATCAAAAATGATAATTATTTCCTTCACACTTTTTATTTATGAAAATGTAGACAGCCTGCAAAATAACACATCCCCTTTTGCTGTCCTATCATTGCAGAGAAAAAGAATAAGGCACAAGGAATATACATATGTACATGTATATACGCATATGTTTAACTCTTTGGCCCTTTGCCTATGTCAAAGGTCATCCTCGTGCTTGTTCGTTTTAGAGCTTTTGCACGTGAATCAATTCATCTGTACACACACACACACACACACACACACATACACATACACACACACTCACATACTCACACACAAACTTGGAATACACTCACGCAAGTGATCAATGTAATGTCAGGGTGGTAGGATAATGTATAGCCTCGTTAATAGTTTGCAGCCGTTTATTAAAGCTTTGGATTTTAATTTTTTTTTGCCTCTGTCGTTGCTAATCATCTTTTATTACTTCATTACTACTCTTGGTCATACTAGTAATTAGCTATAAATTGCTTTTGAACATTTATTTCATAAAATGGGCTCAAGCAATAGTCATTTGAAAGAGAGGTCAGGAATCAACGGTAGAGATCGAACAATGATGGATCAGCCTCATGCAGATGGAGCATACCCCGATATGAATTATATCTTCTTTAAAGGTGTACCAAAAATGATACAGGTGAACTCTGATGCCTACTTTTGAAGATTAAAAGTTAATATATATTAATACATTCTTCTTTCTTTTATTTCTGATTATTCTTTTGGAGTTGGTTAGAAGCATTTCGAAGTTTTTTGTAAAAATTGTTAATCATTAATTTTTGCACTCTTCCACCTCTACAATAATTACAAATATTGAACACACTGATCAGACTCCGAGATTAAAAAATTTTGGTACATTTTCGATTTGACAGTTAGCTTCAGAATGATTTTCATCAGTACTGCCTGCACTTGTCATGATAAGAATTTCGTACGAACAAGCAGTTACGTGTGATCTGCAAGAATCATTTATCACTTTCGAAGTTTAATTAAATTTAAAATGTAAACAGCATACAGCAAAAGTCTTTAAAAATAGTCAGAGCAAGAAGTAGATTGAAGCGCTCAAATGGGAAATGTTAATAAAATTTGAGTACATTTTCAAGGTGACAGATGATATACATCGGATGACTAATTATATCATGGATTTACGCAACATGACTATCGCACTCATCTGTCTATCGTTTTTGGCCGCAGTTTTTTTCTTCATACGCTATTTAAAAACTCGCAATGTGGACAGAAAAGAACAACTTCTAATAGTTGATAGACTTGAGGTCAGCTTTACTTCTCTGCCTCATTTAATTATAAAAGTTTTGGTTCACATTAAGGGACAGATAAAGTTTGCTACCTAAATGTTTTCTCAAGTACTGCGCTACACTTTTTCGTTAATGTGTGGAAAATAAAAATAAACGACCGATATCCCACTCAAAATGTATGTACCATAGTTACTACACCAGTATGCCTATGATTTTCAATCTTATAATTACTAATTATTCATTTCAGTCAAATTTCAGAATCTAGTCAGTGCTAAGCAGTCCTTGCAATCTAATACTGGAACATATCGTAGCTATTTAGATCCATGGCATGATTCAACGATAAAAACTTCAACAGTGACTCATGGAAAAGAACACTGTCCTCCTTCACCCTTGACAGCAAACAGTGAGAAAACCGCAGATATTCGACGACCTGCAAATGGCAGAACCCATACAAACAGTCCTCCAGTTTTGAAAGGTAACGTAAGTTTGAACTTAAACACGTCTGCATGACACAAAATTCGAAACATCATTGTGCATGAAATACTCTCCTAATGCGCTGTGATATAAATGTACTGAGCTTTTCGCTCATAATATATACCAACCTATAGTACTAAATCCACCTTACCTTTTCAGACAAAGAATATTTCAACCAGTAACAACAAACAAGCACAGGATGAGAACAGATTTCTTACTACAAAATGAATCCCTAAGTACATGGCATGCGTTTGCACCGTTAGTTTTATTCACGTTTGAAATTTGAATGCGTAAGATTCTACTGATAATTTACAAGAATTTATCAAAAGACTTTCTTGATGCTTGACAAAAATGACAATTATTCGACTTTCAAGCATTAGAACCTATACACATTTATTGACGATGTCTTTAAATTAACACATACGATGTAAAATATTTAGCTCATTTGTGTTGAAATAAAAAAGATTTCACTGAACAATAAATTACGGTTCTAAAAGTGTTAAAATATTGGATTCAGTCGAAAATACTATTTTATATAATATTTCTTCTCATAAATATAAAGTAATGCAAATGGACTGAAATGCTAACTGCAACACCCATACAAATGAAACTCGCATAATTTCTAAGATGCACCTCTTTAACAATACATTTGAAAGAGATGAATTCCATTTGAGGATGTCATATGATGAACAAAAAACGAAAATAAAGGTAGAATGGAATTTTCCTGCTCTTTTCTAAACAGACACTGCATTTTTTGCTTCTTAACTGAAAAAAATCCTAATGTTTTTGTCTCCATTTGCTTAAAGCAACATGTTGTTTTCCGTAATATGCTTGAGCGATTTGATTTCTTCGTTGCAACACCGATCGACATTCCTCTCTTTCCTGCTCATTTTTTGGTCGCCTTTTTGGGTAATCAGAAAAATATTTATCGTATACTTGAAACATCTGCAAATTACGGACGTGTCAAACAAACATTCTCAATACTCTTCTTAGAAATTGAAAAACATACTACGTTGAAGCATAATACTGATAGCATGTCTAAAAACATCGTACTAACGAAATAAATGAAATAACTGGCCTCTCGATCGGCCTTATCGAGTTCCCGCTCTAATTTCGTTCGTAAATATTCTGCGATCAAACGATGCCAAATTTTGTAAACTATTTCACGCCACGAAACTTCCTTTATTGCAAGCTCTGCTTGCAACTTCATGAGAGCGACAGATACTTCATCCTATAATAGTTCTATAAATCCCAAAGCAAATGCATAGAATATAATAATCAAGACAATATTACTTGAAAATAAAGTTATTTTGAATTAGTATAATCTATACGTTAAGATTACAACATGAAATATAAAGCCATACCATTCTCCCAAAGAACAAAAGATTTCAAAAATATCTCGTAGAAACCATTAATCACATCGCACTACCAAAGAAACTGCAACAGCTAACCTTATTATCAATCTTTTTATTGGAAGGAGATCTCACTAGTTCTTCAAAACCCTCCGATTTAATACTTTCCTTTTCTTCACCACATTGAGAAGCATCAGAATCTTTATCTAAAATTTTAAAGAACAGATTCTTAAGGTAACAGATGAAAACGAATTTGTTGCTAAAAACTTTAAATCAAAACGACTCATAAAATTACCTAATGAATTGAGGTAGTTGCATAAAACATAATTAAACATCTCTAATTCATCTCCAAAATTTGCGAGAATATTCTCATGACCATTAGAATGAGAAATTTCTAGCGTATTTTCGATTCCATCCTCTTCATCATTTACTATCCACTCGCAATTCTTTCTCTCTGAAAGAAATATAGTCTTTTACTGTAGTTGTGCGGAATTGGAATGATGAAAAGGAAAGAATTACTTTCCAAAATTTTTGATAGATAATTAAATACTTTCTTAAAAGTCTAATAAACATATTCTGTTTATGTGAAAAGCTTTTCACATTAACAGAATTATTTTTTTGTCTAAAATTTTATGAATGATAGCAATAATCACCTGAACTATCATCTTTTTCGCGGATGTAAGCTTTCATGAGAGCACTGATCAAAGATGTTGCTTCTGTTGATGAAAAGGATTGTGTTCTTGATTCACACCTAGAACTTTTGATAATGACAATGAACTTCAAATGTGAACACTGTTGCAAATAACTGTTTGTACCCCTACCTAGGTATTTTTTTTGGTGGCGGAGATACATCTTTGTTGGGAAGCGTCAATTCGAATGACGAAGAGGACACGGGAGACCTGTAAAACACAAGCAATAACGTGATACATGAAAAAGTATTAGGATGACAAATTTTAGGTTCCTGTCAAGTACAGAGAAGATTTCCCAAACCAAACTGATTCTGACATCTTGCCGAAGACAAAACTTACTTGTCTTGCGAGGAAACATGTGCTTCCCATTTTGAACAAGAAGAGCTAGCTTTACAGTCTTGAAATACGTCACAGATATTGACTGTCTTTGTTGATCCTATAATAAAAGCTAACAATAAGGGAAAAAAGGAACCAAAAATTCTAAATAATTGACGGCGAAAAGCACTGATATGAAAAAATTGAGCAATTTTCATGGCAAAATATAAAAATAAGGAATCACTTGGGTCTTTTTTTAATTGTTAATAAAAAGATAATTTCATGATGAGTAAGACTTCAAAAAACTACTGTTATCAGATAATAGATACTTATTAAGAAGCGAGAAAAAAACATAACTAAAGTAAATTCAAAAAATTATGAGCAAATTTCCGGTGACAAGATTTAGACGTATTCCGAAGATATCTAAAAAACACTTCTTAAGTATATTACGGTTGACTTTTTGATGAAAATGAAAGCAATCCTTACATACATTCACATGAGTTGTATTTCTCGCGCAAAAGAATGGTTCTAAGTTGTTTGCGAATACTACGCGACTTCCTAATTATGCTTATGAAAATACCAAGACAAAGATTACCTGCTGATGATTTGGATGATATTAAATCTTTACTACAACCAAAAAGCTGAACAATGTTTGTCCACCATTGTTGCAAGTATTCCTCATCAACAGGATCAAGATATTCACGAACAAAAACCCAGAATTTCTGAGACAAATTGACTGGTGGCCACACATCAAAGCCATCATCCAGCCAATTTACTTCGTCTTCTAAGATTTCATCTTCCAGCCACCTGAACAACATCATCCCCTAATACTGGCAACACAACTTGTAAAAATTTAAAAAAAAAGTAATTGTTCCTATTTTAGTTGAAAAAAGTTGATACACAATATATTGTGAATCAATATTTTTCAGACAGACTAGTGAGAACAGGAGAAATTCCTAAAAAATTGACCCATAATACAGTGAGTGATGCTTACTCTCTGTCAATTTCGCTACTGCAGCTAGGTAAAATATCCAAGGATCTAAGATCATATATAGGCATTGGCCTATGTGAAATGTCATCTGATGGATAATCTCCAGTAGTGAGAAACGTTATTTCTCCACATATTTTTTTTTGATGGTCTGTTGTATGCATTAACATGCGCTCTAATTCCAGCTGGACTTTATCCTGAAGTCAACACAACAGTTTTCTCATAAGAAAAAGTAAAATATTAACTGCTGCAATTAAATGCACAGGACAAGGAATAAATGAAACACATGTTTAATAGTAACACAATTAATAAAATTTATTTAAAATGAAAAAATTTTTACCAAGTCAGAGAATGCAGCGGTGATACTTTGATAACTACTTTCATTTGCTACAGTTATTAACTTGGGGCATTCACGTAAATAATCGAACTGAGCGAAATCCGGTACAGGGGTAACTGAACCATTGAGCGATCTTCGCCGCGTATGCAACGGAGATAATGAGCCTACGGAAAAGATGACAAATAAAGTTAGTAAGTTATGAAAAAACAATAAAGAGCTCTACACAACTAAAATCTGCGTCGAACTGCGATAATCGAATTCATCAAAAATGCAAAATTACATAATAAACAATAACTATCACAAAGCATTCCCTCAACATTTCAACGTATTTCTACTCAACACATTTAAAAACGCCATTTAACGAGCCATGCAAGCCATATACAAATATAATTGTTCAAGATGATGCATACAACATGATGAAGAATAAGGAAAATATGTCACCGTCCAAGAGCTGCTGAGATTTATCATCCGAAGTTTGGGATAATTTGTGTGATGTAGAAGAACTAGACGACCTTTCTAGTTCTGAACTTTGTATTTTCCTACACTTCATCGTGAATATTGAAAATAAGCAGTCAATGGTAGCGACTAAATACAGCCCACTCCCCAGCTACATTAATATCAAACCACCATCTCACATTTTTTCTTACAATGGGTGACAATTTTGCGATCAAATTGTTCTTCTCAAGACCACACTATATGATGAAGCATAATATCAGCTCGATTATAAAAATGTTGCTGTCATTTAAACAGTTAGTGACTAATTTTGTTCCTTTTCAGTTTACTTTCCAATTGATCTCCTTGAGTCAAAAGATTTGACTTCAGTCAGCAAAGAGCTGTTTTTCATTAATTATGCTAGTACGTTGTGCTATCTCAATTTTCAAAATCCCAACATGCTGCATCATTTGAATTTTAGCAAGTGAAGGAATGCAACATAGGCAGTATTTCACTTCATACTTAGAGGCATTATATGAGCTAAAATTGAAAAATCTAAAATAGAGCATGACTGCCGTATTGAGAGTCCATTTCACCTCAGCTACCGCATAGTTTTTTCTACCACCAAACTGGTTGCAAATTTTGACCACTTCCAGTAACGATTACTGTAATGTCCTACTGTACAGTTTTGCGTAATCAATCTATCAGAACTAGCGATACACGTGAGGTTTTTTTGGTAAACCTTTGGGAATCAAGGTATCGGTATTGAGTAGCCTTTCTTCACAGAATGTCTACTATATTTTCTTTTGGTTTTTACTTTTTCAAAACTCTGGTCGAATTTAAGTAAGTTTCTTAATTTTAAGTACAAAACTTATAATTCACTATGTGCAGTTCAGTAAATTACTCATGTAAGTACTTGTAACAGACAAAAATAGGACATAATTACTATTTATGTTCAGTTTGCGATATGTTGTTGAGTTCCATCCATCTTTCAATTACTCATATTTGTTCCCATCATTTTTTTGCTTGAATTGCATATATTTGACAGAAGTCAATCTCCAGACAAAAAACAATCTATACTATGTAGATAAATAATGTATTTGCAGAAGTGAAAATAAAACAGATATTCAAGAACATTGCTAGATTGTTTCAGAAATTATGATAGAATTTTGATTATTGTAATTTATAAATTAAGATTCTCTATTCGTGCACTTCTGAAGTTCTATTATTAGTTGCAAATAATTCACTGCAAATTGAAAGGAAAAAAGCTATATAAATATATATTTTATCTCCATGCTTTAACAATGATATACTGTGATAAACAAAAATCGAAGAATATTCATACTACTCTGCAAAAACAACAACAGCGCAGTTAGTCATGTTGCACTGAAATAATGGTAACAACTTTCTTCAGCCAACAATCAATACTTCACCGTGTAACATCTTGATCAAAACCATTGATTACCTCAGTCCACTCATCATATTTCTTCTAGCAAAAATGCATCATTATATATATATATAACAGAAACAGAATATATGCATTCCGTAATACAGGAAATTCTATTTGTCTGCCTTCTTACACCAATGCTTGCAAGTGTAATGTTGTAACGGTGAAATGTGATACTGAAAGACTACATTATATTGTTTTGCTTTCCCGTGCTACTTTTTTATTTTAAGATATAATGCATATTATCACTGTACTTTCATTTTCGAACAGTTTCGCCTGCTATGTGAGAAACCATACAAATAATGGGTATATATCATCAAGGTAGTAGAAGTGGAACATAGACTCACATTTAACATAGAAGTAACGTATTTACTCAAGAGTTCTCCTCATCTATCACGTGATACGAAAGATTTATATGATTTTTCCACGCTCTATGTTAAGATGAATAAACTAAATAAGGTTTATTTTCACTAAACATTGTTTACTTCTGACAATTTTGTGCAGTACTCTAAAAAATTGATAAAATTATGATTCATTTGATACTTTTTTTCTATGAAAGCGCAACGTTTCCAAAAGACAAATGCTGGATGACGAAAACATTTTATTTAGTCACGAGCAGATTTCTGGCCGTAATTGGACAGTGAGAAGAAGCCAAAGTAGGGAAGGAAAAACCAGACCAAAGACTAAAAACATGGAGAAACAGCAGAGTTCGTGCTCACCTTTACGTCATTGAGTGCATTAAGGTCCTTCATTAAGCCACACTAATGGGCGCGTAACCAAGCGGTGAGAATACACTCTTCAAAACGGTGCGTATCACGACTGAGAGCAATTGTTCCAGAGTTGTCTTTGTGTGTGTACGTTTTTGGTCGTATGTCTGAATGTATGTATATATGTGCGCGTATGTGTCTATATCTCCATATGTGTGTGTGTCTACGTGTGTCTGCATGTGTCTGACTGCCTGCCTATGTATGCACGTGTATCTGATTTTATACGGAAGGAAGTGGTTTGTGCTACTAGTTGTGAGTCAGGTGGGTTTCTTGGCACCACAAGGTTAGAAATCCACATTGGATCCTGTAAATACTCGTCATTACGTCTTTAGCATTCATCATTTCTTCTGCGAATCGTTAATAATTGGAAATGTGCCTATTAAAATAATTTACAGCTACAGATTGTAATCCGCAAAGGTCCTTCTTGATTATTCAGTCGTGCCTTAAAGCAATGTTACATGTATGTAAGAAGTTTTTACTTTGTAAATATTTTGTTGCTAATCTTGGATTACGCAGTTCTCGTAATTTATTCTTTCATTTCTTAAGTCTTGTAACGTATATTATTACGTTGATTCTCATAATACTTGAAGTGAGGTGGAGATTAAACATATGATTTGTACTACTGAAAAGTTTAAAATTCGTTAAGCCATATGCATATATACATACGTACAGTGTATGTGTGTGCGTGCGTGCGTGGTTTAGTGATGAATATCGACTGAAGTCTGAATAAACAAGTACGCATATTGATTCTTTGCATCACAGTGAGCAGAGCTATTGTAACATCATCACGATCATTAGCGATAGTTTTAATTTGAATAGCTTTTTTTGGTTGTGAGTATTGTGGCACTGGATTAGAACGTGAGACAGTGTTGAGCCAAAATAGTATTCCCGGCTTGCATGCACATTTTCACGGTTCATTCCAGGCTGTTGTGTTGTAGGAAGTGGTGAATGGTATATGTTAGCATTTGTGCGTAAGGGAACTCAGTGTATGTCATTTGTAGGAGGAGTGAATGGCGAATGAGTGAGTGAGTGACTGAGTTATTCAGTCATCTGTTGATAAGTCAGTTAGTCTCTTGTTGCATTTCACTTTCCGAATTACGTTAATCAAGGGTATACCATGACACTGTCTTTACGACAAGCAACAGTATAGTACTTAACTTGTAAGTGCTTTCTCAATGTAATGATAGTGTAGAAAGGAAATAAGTGATAGAAAGCGATTCAAATGTAATCGCTGTAGTGTTGGTTTTTTGAAAATGCAAAATGGCTCTGTGCACAGTACATCAGACAAGAGTCTGTGTGTACGTGAAATTCGTTAAAAAGTTGAAAATAAATAACCTCAAGCTTTTACGCGTTTTCTCTCCTGGGGAATATATGTATCCATTGGATTCTGTACTAGCATGTGCAGATGGTGTACGACCGCAATAAGTAGGAGTAGTAGTAATATTAGTAGCATTACAGTAGCACAAGCCGACCTGTGGAATGTTGTTCGGAAAAGAGCGCGAGAAGAACATTTTGCATATTCTAACAGTACAGACCGGAAAGCATTTGCTGGCAGAGATGTCTGAGGTGTTAGTCCGGTGATGGGGTGTGGGCCGAGTGTATGACTAGTGGAGAAATCACTTCAGATGCTGCCAGTACTGCTAGCAGCAACAGCAGTGGTAGTAGCAGTTGCAGCAGTAGCAATAGCAGTTGCAGTAGTAGCGGCATCACTTCCCTCCCTCCCTCTTTCCTCACTCATCTAAGTGATGGGGTAGTGTAACGCGAGTTTACCGCGAGTGCATGATTTTACTGGCGTCTCGTACTCCAAGATTGCGAATTTTCGGTTTAACACTGTTGTGCTTCCTTTCTTGAATCGCGTCGCCAATGCGTTTCAATGTTGAGTTGGCGTGGACCGCCACCGTCAATAAATGTAAAGGGAGTATATGTCGCCCGGGGATCGATCGATATTGAGACGCTCTCGCACGCGGCAACTGCCCGAATTCGTGTGCGGCAGCTGTAACCCACTGAAACCGAACAAATGTTCAACCGGTCCTTTACCAGCTTTTATTATATATTTGTCTTGCTGTATTTTATACTAATTTATTGTTTCTTTCTGTTATTAATGGTTGTGATTTCAATTTCGATATTATTCTCCAAGATTTTGCATCCCGTAACAGGCCACTGCGGTGAAATAATTTCTTTATTATCTCGTTCTTTTACCAGCAGTTATACTTCTCAATCAAAAATTTCATATTGTGGTTCGACGCTGTTTGTCCTTCAACGTTAACCAGTGATTTTTTGTTTATTAACAAATACAGTTTTAAGAAAGCGAACTAAAACACTGAACCATCTCATCAAGTGCAGTGCAATGCTAATGAAGTTCTCAAGAGAAGTTACTGTAATTTGTGGCTTGTATATTAATTTATATGACTCCTTTGTTGATGCGTTTACCACAAGGTGTTGCTGGAACGTATATGAAGCACAGGATATTTTTATTTAAACCGAAATTTTTAAACATGTTTATTTTTAGTTGGCACCTCTTCAGTTAATAAGTGATGTAGTCAACTTCGCGCCGCAAATAATTAGAAAATAGAATTATCAGCTAATTTGGAATTGCATTAGTTAGGAAGTTATAATTATGAAAACATGCATTATTGCTCTATGTAATTATACTTCGCCTTGAGTTTGTAACTGTTTATTATATAGTTTTCATGTAAACCATATGCCTTGAGAACTTACTTGTAGTGATGAGAGTTATCGAATATTAATATTGGGAGGGAATTGTACTTAAAGTTCGTATAAATAGTTATTGTAATTTGTAGATTGAATACTAATTTTATATAACTCTTTTGTTGATGCTTTAACCACAGGGTATCGCTGTAGCGTTGACGGAGTACGGGGTATTTTTTATGATTTTTAGACATGTTCATTTTCAGTTGGTAGTTCAGTTGTTAAGTTTTCGCACCGCATGTGGCATTATGATTACCTTAGACGATGAGCCGATGGCTAACAATTGCAGTATGATTACCTTAGACGATGAGCCGATGGCTGATAATTCTGAATCGCCTAAGAACAAAATACGTTTGTCGCCTGTCGGTGAAATGGAGCATTCGTCGGTAGTACATGTTCATTCTTTCTTATACATGAAAAAAAATTCTTTATCAGCTAGCTTTCTTGCTTCTCTCTATGTACCAGTAAGTGTTAAATCTTCTGACAGTTTCTTTGTTATCTTTCAGATGTTAAAGAATTCATATAACAATTCGATCTCAGACTCTTCAAAACATCATACTAATAAATCAAAAGGGGTAGTCAGGAATGGTATTTCTGTCAGCGAAGGATGTGTTATGGATACTTCGTCCCATCAAGAGAAGACGAGTAATGGAGATTGCATGAAACCAACTTCTTCGGGTGAAAACGGTTATGGAAACAGTTTTGATAGAAATGGTTATTATAGTAAATCGTCATACTTGCTTCTTTGCTGTGATTTTTCAGCTCCTCTTTTGTTCGTATCCAGTATTTCTGTTCATAAAGCAGTTAAGTAAAATCGTTTAAGTTTTGACGATTTTATCTTTTTGTAATTATATTAATGTTTTTACAGATTACGATGAAGTACAGATTATAGATAACGATATTATAATTGAAGGTGAAACATGTGCAGGAGGAAAAAATAAACTCCTTACTCTCTCAGAAAACTTTTCTACCAAGCTATCAACCGTTGAATGCATAGGTAACAGCTGTCATGAATTTTCAGCATTTTCGCTTATTGTTCTTTAAAAGTCACGGTAAAATTTTCTAATTCCCTAATAATTTCGGTTTGACATGTTACTTATGATTTCATTTCTACTTTGTATGATTACAAATACTTTTAATTCTTCAGGAAGTCAGTTATTCAGGCATCAATGTTAAATGAAAAAATTTCTGTTTTCGTTCCGCATTTTGATTAACTATCTGCTTTTCTTAAACAAGTAATTGTTGTGTCGAAACCGCTGCAACATTTGAGGATACTGTTTATAGAATTAGATGACGATGATGACACGGATCTAAGCAGTCAACCTCCATCAAAAAAGAAAAAATTGAAATCACTGGATCCAGATAGCCCGGTTCAGGTTTTTTGCATTTTCTTTTTCCAAGACTCTGAATCTCATAATTTAATTTTTTATTGTTTATAAAATGTTTCACTTGTCATTCAGGTGGGTGTGAAGAAACCGGAATTAACTAGTGGTGGGGCGTTGTTAGACAAATTAGAAGAATATGTAAAAGAAGCAATCGATAATAACATAAATGTAGATCGGTAATGTTTGTGATTTATTGTGCCAATCCATACGATTAAAAATCTATAAAACTAAATAAGTTGTTTTCAAATAAAGATACTGTTTGCAAAGGTGAATTCATGGGTTTACTCTAGATTTGATGTGGGAAACCATGAGTAGATGATGAATAAAATTCTAGAAAAATAAGTCCAATAGTTGATTACTTTTATTATTGATCACAAACATAGAATATTGATGTGTTTTAGAAATTTTTTCAATTTTCTCTATAAGTTCATGACTTCACTCTAATATTTTTTTTTGTATAGAAAAGTTTTGGATGCGTTATTAGGAGCGATTAATATTCAAGTTCAACGTGAGCCATTATCAGTTCGAAAGCTAATACTGGATAAACAATTAGTCTTACCAAACACAATCAGTTTTCCACCATCGCAGGTATATTGTATGTCAAAGACACATGCAACTTGCTTTTTTCTTAAGAATTAAATGAAAATTCAGAAATATATGTCAAATTCAGATGGAGGAATGTTTGATTTACAAGGGTTTTCAATATTACTTCGCAGGTTGTCGATTTACTGATTGAGCACGATCCTGATGCACCCTTATCAAAAGTTATTGGACGAATGTTTGGTGATGAAAGGCCGAAGCTTTCAGAGGCTGAAAAACGCGAACGCCACTTGTTGAAACTAGGGCATCCTGCCCCACACATGACTAAACTACTAATGGATATCGGACAAGATCTTGTTCAGGAATCTACGTATTCTGATATAGTTCATGCAAAAAATTTGCCTGAAACCCCGAAAAATATGGAAACATATAAACAGGCTTGTTTATTTGCTTTTTAGATTTCTGTTATATCTTATGATTGTAGATTTCTCTTCAATGGTCTTAATCTAACAAATTCATATTATTTTTGATAACAGTTTTATGTACGTTTTTGTCACGAGACAACTTATGAAATCTAAGAAATAATATCATTTATGGTGTCTTAAGGTCGCGCAGCAGCTTAAGCCGGTGTGGGAAGCCTTGAAAAAAAAGAACGAGCCATATAAATTGAAACAGTATAGTTGTCATCTTTGTAACTTCCGTACCGAATCACGGATTGTTTTATCAATGCATCGACAAACACCACACTTTGACGGAAGAAAATATCAGTGTGCATTGTGCCCTGAATTTTTCACTAATGAAAACATGATTTCGCAGCACTATATGTATGGTTTTTGAACTTCCGTGAAATTTTCGTTTCTTAACAAGTAAAATTTAAATGCAACCATAAAATCAGTTTGCATGTTTTAGAAAAGAACATAATGTAGTTGCTAGGAAAGAAGAAACAGCTCCTCGAAACCCTTGTCCATTATGTAGCGAAGACTTTATTTACAAAGGACAACGAGATCAGCATTTGAAAATCTGTCGTAGAGATCTCAGTAAAGTTCGGTAAGTCGCTACATTTATTATTTCCTATCTAATATGATTGTTTGACAATTCCATAAATTCTTATTCTAGCTTAATAATGGCTCCAAGGCATCCACAAGATATTAGCGCAATTAACCATTGGTTGTGGGATAAACCTCCAGTTGATCCAACAATACTGCAACAGCAACAAGTTGCACAGCGGCAGCATGTTGAAGTTTGTAATTTTTTAATTTGCCACGTGATGTACATTAGTTCATTCAAGTCACTGTGTCTATCGTAATGCAGTGTTGTTTCATGTATTTTATTTCATTCACTAATCTTATTTTTTGCAGCTCAGTCTACTTCAGTGCATTACTTCACAACATCATTTTTTTAAAACTTTCATGTAATTGCAGAAGTTACAGCGTGCTCAGTTAGCGCAGCAACAACAACAACAGCAACAGCAGCAACAACAGTTACAACATCGGCGAAATCAAACTGCTGTGTCTGGCCCAGCTCTTTTAGCAGCCCAGCAACAACAAGCAGCACTTCTTTTACAGCAGGTATTTGCAAAACGGTTAAAAATTTTTTGATAATTATTTTAAATAGATGTAGTTGAAGTGATCAGATTCATCGTCAATGAATTTTGATTTGCAGTTCAATTCATTCACCAATTTTAGCAAAGGATCAGAGCCGCACAGGCGGTAGCTCACCATCAACAGCAGGCCAAAATGTCTTCTTTGATTGGTAATCCTAGTCTTTTAGCAGGTGAGGGAAATAGGGAATAATGTGAAAAATTTGATTAAATTTCACATAATATAAAACCAAAGTATTTCTACTTCTAAATAAATGTTTATGATCGAAGAATTTTTATTATGGTGTGATATTTATAGCAATGCAGCAGCAACTACAGCGCGCTGCCGGTATTCGTACTCCATTATCTTTATTCGGACAACGAAATGTAAGTGCTGGAATTCGTGGTTCATCTATAGCCGCTCAGCAGGCAGCTGCTTCTTTAGCCGGGCGTATTAGGGCCCCTCCTCAGGTTTTGTTTAGAAAGTCTTTGTCGTATTAGTATTAGATTTACACTTAAATTTGGATTCATTGAGAACGAAGTGAAATTAAAATTTTTTTTAGGCATTGTTAATAGTGTAAAAAAACGTGAATTTTTTCTGTAAAATATGAGTACGTAATACTCCATATTCTTTTAGCATTTGAGCGCAATATTCAAAATTGAATTTGAGTCATTTTGTGAGAAACAAAAATATTTGACTTTCAAAAAAGCTGTCCCGTGCTGTATTTCAGTTTAATGAATCAAAATTTTTGACGACTTTAAACAGAAAATTTGTAGATCCTAGTACAACTCTTTACCTAAGTCTTGTACTCCTCTAATTCAATATGTCTCTAAATATTTATTTACATATTTTTTTCGGTATGTGTAATTATAAATATCGTGTTAGAGGCATACCAGTATAAGTTGATTAGAACAAATTTTTTTTTTGTGTCTATGTTCAGATTTCTACGTCGCGTTCACAGCTGACGGGAGTTATGTGTTCTGGACATAATAGCAATGTATGCGAAATCTGTGACCAGAATGTCCAAGATAGAGATCGATATCTAACCCATTTACAGCTGTTTCACAAGCAGATGCGTGGAAAGAATTCAGCAGATATGCAACAGGTTCTCAAATGTTTTAAAGCATCGTAATTAATGAGGATATTGTTAGCGAGAACTTATTTTTTTCGGAAGCGCAGTGATTTAAAAAAATGTATTGTTTGAGGGTGCACCGCTTGCTTGCAGTCGATGTCGGGACAGATTTTGGACATATGAAGGGTTAGAGCGACATTTGGTTATGTCACATGGGCTTGTTACATCGGATCTCTTAACCAAAGCTCAGAAAAAAGAAGATGGTGGACGTTGCAAGCACTGTGGCAAGGTTAGATCCAGAATTTATGGTCTATAGTGTACGCATTCACAAGTTTCCATTTAATGTACTTAAAAAAAGTATGACGTTGAAATATCTCAGTTTTACAGTTATCTATTTTAATTACATTAAATAAAAATTTCCAGCAATATGCGTTCAATATGCTGCAGCACTTAGTGACGGATCATCAGGTAAAATTATGTTCAGCTGAAATAATGTATAGCTGCGATGTTTGTGCCTTCAAGTGCAGTAGTTACAATAAGCTGGAAGTACATTTGAACTCCGTACATCCCAAAAATCCTGTGCAAAACCCTGGTTTGAACGGTGCAGCTGGCGCACCGCCTGGTAAATGAAATTATTTTCATCTATGTTTGCGCATTTATTATAAAAATCAGTAGTATTTATATGGATTCTCATAACTTTCATGGTAGTTCGTGACAAAAGTTCACTTAATGCATGTTTTTTGTGTTTGTATTACAAAACATTAGTGTTTCATAAAATCTGTGACGTACGATCACATTCAGTTTTTTATTGCTTTCGTTTTGATTTACAGTCAGCTGTGAGTTGCGTGGTTTTTTAAATTGAACCACAGTTGTTCATTTTTTAGTTGTTGGCAACTACTGATGTTATTTTATAGTTTCTTGCTAACGTATTTTTTTTTGCTCAGTTAAATTCTGTTTCTTATCTCAAGAAGTTACGTGACCTAAACATTTCTATAGATTGATTGGTGATTCCAGTAACTAAAGAAGAATAATAAGATTTTAAATTTGGATGAGTTCAAGGAAGTGATGTTGAAGATGTAGAAAGTAGTCGAGAAAGTGATATATCAACTATGAACTACTTTTTCCGCATGTACTTCTCTAAATATTACCAAAAAAGAAGTCGCAGAAATGAGAATAAAGCTGTTAGTGAAGCCACAGATTGTTGGGAAGAGAATAAAGCAACCGTTGAAGTTACAATATATGTTTCTGTATTCTAATTTTGTAATGCTTTGTTTTTATTTACAATGGAAAAAGTGAGGTTCACGTTATTTTCACTGGCATTGTATGCTATTTTATTGTAGTTGTTTATTACAGCATTGTTTCAAGCAAGAAAGTCAGTTCTTGAAGTCAATTTCTGTGCTTTTAATAGTCAGCATGTTGCTAGTTTTATTTCGACAAGCTTTATTTGAACAAGTGCTCGGAACTTGCTTTTTCCTCTGTTTATGTTTTATGTGTGGTAGCGTTTGTCATAGCAGTTTTCAAGCTTATCAATTTTTTCGGCGAACGAAGGTAAGACCCATCGACTTCGTGCTTTAATGGGCTACCGATGTTTAAGAGCAGCGTATTGCGTATGTGTACATGTACTTGATCAGATTCAGTTCAGTACTTTCGACAAATGATATTCAAATGACATAAGGCATCTCTTTAATTTTATAGATGTAAACCTATGATACCGATTGTGCTTTGTTACTCATTCTTGGTAATGCTAGGTTGATCATGTTAAACATCTTTAGGAGCAAGGAAAGTATGAATTGGTATATTGTGGAAGAACGCTTATATTTGAGCAAACGCGACCATACCATTCTTATCGGCGATATCTTCAATCTGAGGAAGTAATGTTTGGCATTCCTTTTTCTTTTACGGGGTTGTCACTGTTTCCTCTTACATACCTTTGTAATCACCTGGTACCACTAAGCTAAGTGAAGAAACACAGTACAACAGAAGATATCGTCGAGGAGAATAGCTGAATAACGACTTAGTTTGACGAACATGGACTCATTGAATGAGGAATTGATAACTGTTGGTTCATCGTTCTTTACTTTGTTTCTGTTTCTCAACTTCTGGGCATTAAACTATTTTATGGCATACCGTTCATTCATTGCAATTCCTGTCAAGATGAGTCATCTATTTACACAACATTGAAACTTAAATTTGATGGTACCGGACTTTGTATTTATTTATACTTAAACATTAGTGGTGTGGCCAGGCGGTTTTCGGCAGCATTACCGCATTGATCTTAAAATTAACCATGTTGCTCGTACATTGATTTTGTGTGTAAATTACATTTTATTTTGCGTTTTCATCTGCGATGTTTGTAAGTTTCATGTTTTCGACTGTCATACTTTAATTTTTTTAATGACTACTGTACTTGCGAACCTCAAAGATAAGTTTGCACTGAATGCTGCATAATATTGTCAACTCTTGAATTACAAGATGGTTTGAAAGATCATGTAAAAAACACGACAACGCTGGTCAAAGGGATGGACAAATATTTTTGTTTTCTATTCACCAGTAGGTTTAAAACATCCAACAAAATGATATAAACAAGGTTGGTCGGAGGCTTGAGTGGAGATGTTGTTTTTGGATGCGTCTGATCGACATCGAAGTTAGCACGAAAGTTGAAGTCGTTCACGGAATTATGTTCTTCGTCTTACGGAGCAAACAATTAATAGCATTCGATTGGGGTTGCAAAGTAGATGTGTCCTACAGAATGCGGGCAAAATTTTGAAATCTTCAATACACAAGGCAAACCTCCCAAACGGTTGGTTTCTCCAAAACACAGACTGCGCGCTTCCAAAAACGACCATTACTGGATCGGTTCTAATGGTGATTCTTGGACGGGTAACGCCACCAGTACTCGGCTACCACCTAAAATCGGTTCAAATGTAAGTGTTTCTGTACTAAACAATCTCAGCTTGATAGTATTTACAAAGCTTAGCTGTAGTTCTACGATGTGTGACTCGCTATACTTAAATCTTTACAAATGCGTGATCCAATAACTCACTTGATTCTGGATCAGGTTGCCGTACATGTCATACTTGACGACTTCCAAATTGTGCAGATTAGAGAGAACATAAACTGGATAACTCCAAAAACAGGCACTCCAAAACAATTGTGTCCAATTGGGCTGAAAATAATTGCGCAAATCACAGAATAGTGCGAATGGAGTTTAAAGAACAACGGTATTACACTGAGCATGTAAAAAATATGCGCAGTAATACAACTTATTACAAGGAGAATCAATGCAAACAGTAACGTTTTCACGATAACATTCTTCGCTCACCATTTAAACTCGTACGCTGAGCTGTTCAGTACAAAGGATACGTTGAAGCACAACAAAAGACACAGCGGTTACGTCTAGAGAACGCTATGGGCTCTGAAGATATGAAACATCAAATAGTTCCACGAACAACATCAGCATTGCTGCACTCTGGACAACTCGACAAATGCCTAAAGACTTTCCCCATCTTGACATCCAGCATCTCACATGAATTGATGTAGGTGAACAGAATGAAACTCACTCTTCCCATCTATGAACACTGCAAAAATTCACTTTCTGTAGAAGCCAAAGTGAACAATCAATCCGAACTAATGATTTTGTGCACAAAACACTGATTAAAATATAAATAATTTTTGGGAATATAAATAGCGAGCAATTCTTTACAATCAATGAAATATTTGCTTCGCCTGAATTTTTAACACAAAGTTATTCACTAAGAAAATTAAAACTATTTGATGATTTCTAATAGGTTGAAAATTTTGCATTTCATAAATATGAAGCTTTACAGCACAATTTAATTTTAAAGAATTAAATGGATCATACACTAGTCACACTTTCGTGATAAATACTACAGATGGAACTTGAAATAAAAAAGGTACCAGTCAAAAAGTAAGTAGACTCAGCAATTGGGAATGCGCAACTCAGTATGTCGTTCTGAAATTTCCTTTATTTAATAATAAAGGAAATTTCAGAACGACATATAATAATTTATATAAGTTTTCCACGACACTTCTTCTTCCCTTAAATGACTATCAGAAATATTTTCACGTGTGAGATGCATATATTGCATAGAGGGATACGAGTGAGCTAAAACTATTTGTACGAGTGTTGGTAAAAAATTTTGATTGGTATAATATTTGGTTTGATCTATTTGTGTTCAAGTTCTTCACCGTAAAAGAAATACCTTACATGGTATAATTAGTAGAAAATAAAATGCTCATAGATTTTAACAGTAATTACTTATTAAAATGTTTATAGGTGTAGCTGTCATGGATTTAAAACCGAACCATACAATCTATATAAATAACCTGAATGAGAAAACTAAGAAAGAAGGTTATTTTCTAGGTTTTTACATAATTTTTTGATATATTTGCTAATTTGTTTTATTTTTTGAAATTAGTATCTAATCCAGTATTTGAGAGGCTATGTGCTCTCTTAAACATCGGACTTAACGTTTTACGATAGTAATTTTGTAAACCTAGATTTTCTAGAGCTTAAAAAGGCACTCTTTGCGATATTTTCACAGTTTGGACAGATTGTGGATATTATGGCATTCAAAACACTGAAAATGCGTGGGCAGGTTTACGTTAATGCTTTTTAAGACTTCTCTATTTGATATTATTATAATAGCTCACATTTTTTTGAGGCTGAGAAATTGGTGAAGAAGGATCTCTACTTTTTAAAGATCCTGAATAATTAGGTAATGTGGAACAGTCGCATAAATATATAGTATGTTGTAGTGGCTTATATCATAAAAAAACTATACTGCATTACAGGCACATGTCATTTTCAAAGAAATAAGCTCGGCGACCAATGCTTTGCGTGCGATGCAAGGTTTCCCTTTTTATGATAAACCTATGGTGAGACTCTTTAATGTCTTTCTTAAAGTTAAAGGAGTCACTTATTTAACATCATGAGACGTTCTATTTTAGGATTATTTTCTGGTTCGTTCTAAATTTCTAGCGTAGTTGAGAATCTATTTATTAGCAGTGCATATTAGTCATGTCTTGTGAAAATATCTATAGCGTATACAATTCGCGCGAGAAGATTCTGATGTTATTGCGAAAGCTAAAGGCACTTATGTTGATCGACCAAGAAAACAGCAACCATCAAAACAGAATGTTGGAGATAAAAGAAAAAAGTCTAGTCATCAAAAAGAAAATAAAAAGGTGAAACTGTTTTCAACATTTCGACTTGGATAAAATTTTGAAATTATCACTGCATAGCATTTAAAATAATATGTAACTCTGTTTTAGGTGCTGAACACTTGTTTGCACGTTCTATTTTTTTATTTCAGATGCGAATGGACAAAAACTATAATGGGAAGGCCGACAATGCTGAAAGAGTGAATCCACCAAATAAAATATTGTTTTGCACCAACTTGCCGGAGGAAACAACCGAACAAATGCTTACGTTGCTGTTTAATCCGTGAGTCTAACTACTTTTTTGAATCCTGCATTCGTGAAAGTAAAGAAGTATTTATTATTTCTGCGCCTTTTTGTAGCAAAAGTTATTAACCGAGATCGCATATAGTTTTTTTTTTTTTTTTTT